TCCACTAATGGTTGACCTCATGTGCAGTGAGGAAATGAGATAATGTGAATTATAAATACATGTTCATAAAAAAGATGCAATAGCTGTAACTAAGCAGAGGAGGCGTAAACTTATTTCCACAGAAAACAAAAGGGCGACCACAGTGACAGCGGCTCACTGCTGCCTTTATCCTGTGTTACTCATCACTTTCCGGCAGCGCCGCTGCTGCTGGGGGGTTCTCAGGAAATCAACCCCCACGACTGTCTGCCGTCATATTTTCACAAACAAGCTCACACACATTTTCAATGCAGCAACAGCTACTTTGTGCTTGTTGGTAACTTTAAAAATACTGATGTGGCCATTTTAACATGAAACCCCCGTCTGCAAACCAGCTACCGTGTGTAATAAATACATTCGTATGACTGATCCTGGAGGAGGAAGTAGCAGAAGCAGATGGGATGAGCCCATCCTGAGTTGTGAAAGCAGAAGCAGCAGATTTGCTGACAGTTTACCAAGAAGAAGCAAAGCGTGTTCGCACATTCAAAACCACACGACGCAATAAATGAATATTACCAACAGTGCATGATACATGTTCAACAACACGAGACATGAGACATGAGAACACGTAATGTTTGTTATTCATCTTTAAACGCACACATTTGACACGTTGAATTCTCTCCATTCTTTGAATTCCTCTCTCTCTCCCCACCGGCTCCATAAGGACGCGACTTGGGGAATGGAGCTAAAACCATTGTATCACGGTACCAATCGACCAGATGCAGAGCAGGGGGGTACGTACCGTAGAGACGACCCCCCAGGAGCACAACAGACGTGTATGCGAAGAAGCAGCTCAGGCAACCACCAGCCATCTCTGTGGGGAGAGATACGACGTGTGCTTCCTCTTCTCGTCACTCAAACTGTGAACCCAAACTGTGAGGCTGCAGAGTGGGGGGAGGTCTGTGTTGATGAAGAAGCAGAAGAAGCGTTGTGGGCCGATACTCTGCGAGATTAAATAAAGGCACATTCTTGAGATTATTAAGAACAGGGGATTAATACTAATAATAATATAATATTTATTTGCTCAGATTGTTTGGGGACTCATAACCTCACTGTGGGTGAGGGGGGGGTGGGTGGTGGTTTGATCTCAGGCTCGGCCAATCCGCATGTCCATGTGTCCTTGGGAAAGACACTTAACCCAACATTGCTCCTGCATGTGTGTGAATGTTGGTTATTGATGACAGGTTGATTACAGTGGCCCTGAAGTGCAAAACACAACGAGATTAACTCCTTACGGAAAGGGGAGGGCCTTATAGCAGATAGCAGAGGACGGACCCTTCTGATTGGACAGACGGACTGTCTGTCTTTTAACCCTCTTAATGCGAAGCCTTTCGCCGGCGACGGAAAGTGACATGGAGGATTCAAATGACTGTGACTCCTTAACTATTTGCACAATTGGATTCTGAAAGCTGAGAAATGGCGCTTTCTAGATATTCTGTCAATCAATAAATCAGTGGGGGACTGAGAGTCTGATGAGGGGGGGAAGCGACGCAGCAGGAAGTCACTGAGAGATGACGATGTTTTACGAGTGTCTTAAAAGTGTCCTACTAGTGTTTCACTGTTGGTTTACCGCTGTTTTGTTCTTAAATTATATTAAGGTGTTGTACATAAAAGTAAATAAAAGGCCGCGGACGCTACGGCCGACACGCCTCGGGGACCGGAGTCCGATTTCTTGGCGTGAGGAATTGGATGTGTGGGGAGTGCGTGACAAATGCGTGACTTTCACGCTCAATGCGTGACACTTGAGAGCCCTGTATCATCTCCTGTTAAAAGACAGACAGTCCGTCTGTCCAATCAGAAGGGTCTGTCCTCTGCTATAAGGCCCTACCCTTTCCGTAAGGAGTTAATCTCATTGTGTTCTCCTATTTGCTGCTGTGTTTTGCACTTCAGGGCCACCGTATATAGTGCTTTGAGTGGTTGGAAGACTAGAAAAGCGCTGTACAGACTTGTTTCCTTTAGGGGACAAAGAATGTCTTCACGTACTATTGCGAGTGGCCTGACTAGCCACGCGGGGGAACGCTGATGGTAACGGACCAGCACGACCCCCCATGTGGCTCTTATGTTTCGCTGCAGCCGTAATTCCTCCCAAATATTAATAGTGAGAGCCATAATAAGGATGTTGCGCCTCCATCGCACCGACAGCCAGAGGCTCCACGTGCACAGAGGGCCTCGTCGTCGTGTCTTTGTGTGTGGTGTTCCTGCAGAGGTGGTCTCTGCACTGCCCCCCTTCCTCTAAACTCGAGCGCGTTCACCCCGACGTGAAAGCCACAAAGGGAAACACAAGCAGCAAAGGTGCTGCTCACTCAGAGTGCAGCCGGCTATTTTAGAACCACTTGCGTGTTACACTTCGCTTTAAACAGTTCTGTGAAGACTCGCCGACGTTTCCCAGAACTCACTTTGCAGAACAAGCGCATCCAGTCGACTCACGTCAGGTCCGTGTGTCTGGCAGAAAGGCACCACATGTGGCTCTTATGTTTCGCTGCATTCATAAATCCTCCCAAATATTAATAGTGAGAGCCATAAAAAGGATGTTGCGCCTCCTTCGCCACCGACAGCCAGAGGCTCCACGTGCACAGAGGGCCTCGGCGTTGTTTAGCCGTGTCAGAGGCCTTCGCGATGTGCGTGCAAAGCGGTCGGGCTGCAGCCTGTTTGTTGCCTTCATGTCCCTACATGCATGTTGTCTTGTGTGTTACCCCTTGAGTTTTGGTAAGACTTCTGCACCGCAGCACTAAGGTAGGGGGGGGACCCCTGACTGCCACCAGGTACTTCCCACAATGCACCATGGGCCCAGCTTGAGGTTTGCGTGGGGCCCTGGCAAACTTGTGAGCGCATGAGGAAGTGAACAAGCCAGCAACAAGATGAGAACACTGATAAGTGGCAATGTGTGAACATGCCGCAGAGTCTCCTTACGAGAAGCTGAGTGTCAACAAATTATGTGTAGATCAAGTCCAAATGCAACTTCTGCATCCAGCTGTGAAAGACTTTAGTTCTCGTGTCTCCTCCCCCTCCAAAAAAACAAGACTTCAGCCACAGACACCGTGCAATGAACAGTGGTTTGTGTGTGATGTTCCTGCAGAGGTGGTCTCTGCACTGCGGCCCCCTTCCTCTAAACTCGAGCGCGTTCACCCCGACGTGAAAGCCACAAAGGGAAACACAAGCAGCAAAGATGCTTCTCACTCAGAGTGCAGCCGGCTATTTTAGAACCACTTGCGTGTTACACTTCGCTTTAAACAGTTATGTGAAGACTCGCCGACGTTTCCCAGAACTTACTTTGCAGAACAAGCGTATTCAGTCGACTTGCCCGTGTGTCTGGTAGAAAGGCACCACATGTATGCCTGTTTCTGCAGATTCTCTTGACTAGAGTGGCTGAATACATCTCACTCATCTGTCTTCTTCATAAATCCTGATAATCCAGACGAGTAAATGTGTCAACTATCATCTTAAGAACTGTTTTTAAATGACATGAACTCCCATTCTCCTTTCTGAGATACAGAATATTGAGACGGACAGCCGGCTCCATTCATTTTCAGGTTGTCTGTATTGACTCTGAAAAGGATCAGCTGACTGGAACCCTGAAATGTAACATGAACGTGGCTGCTGACCTTCCCTTACAAAGAAGAAGTGATACGTTGGCACGGAAACGACTCTGCTCAGTCATGAAAGAAGCAGAACCAGGTTACAACACACACGACACACGCTGAACCCTTTGTCTCAGCCACTTCAGACATAAAACTATTTGTTGAAAGTAATTTAAATCAACCCCGACTCACGACACCGACACCTCCAGTCCCGGTTCCCCCGTGACCTTCAGCCGGCGCCCCAGAGCCCGGCTCCGGACTGCCGTCCCAGCCGACCCCCGGAGGCTCCCCGGGGTGCCCGACCCTCGTCCCCTTATCCTCTCCCTCCCACCCTGTTGTCTGTTTTCTGCCCGTCGCGCCCGCCCTTATGTGTCTTAGGTCCGTCTGCTATCCGTCCCTTGAGAGGGGGGCACTGTCACGGTTTGGGTTTATTTCCTGCCTCTTGTGTCCCTGGGTTAACTTCACTTGCTGCCTTGTATTCATTGTATGTTCTGCTTGAATGTTGTTTGTGAATGTCTTGCCTGTGAGCTTGAGGGCTCCTTCCGGCAACCCCAGCAACGTGACAGATACACTACAAAGTATTGAGATATTCATCTTGCACTCATGACTATCAATACAGTTATAATGAGGGCAAAAAAAAGAAATGCTGTAAAACGGCTTTCATGTTTTTCAAACATTCAACAAAGGGACACTGAGGAGTTCCGTGTACTGAACCATGTGACGCTCACACAGTTTGGGTTCATGTCCTGTTTTATTTTGTAGTTTTCTCCCTCTTGTCTCCCTGAGTAACTTCACTTCCTGCCTTGTCCTGTCATCCCCTGTGATTGTCTGCCGTGTCATGATTGTTTCCACCTGTGTTCAATCACCTGCACCTCCCCAGTGTGTTTAAGCCATGTGTGTCTGGTCACGTGTTGAATGTCCGGAGGTCCGTGCCAGAGTGTTCCTTGTTCTTGTCTGCATTTTTGCCCCTTGGCCTTTTTGGAAATTTTGACTATTAAAGTATTTTTTTGTCTTTTGAACTCTGCGTTTGAGTCCTGCCTTCCCCGCGTTCGTGACAGACTCGTCCTCAGAGCCTCTGATTCTCTAGACACAAGCAGCACCTACAGGCCACTGATGATTATGTCCAGGATGCATTATGAAGCATCACATCTTAAGTGTTGCTGAGGCACGCTGACGTACAAAAATACTTTATCACCACAACATCTACAGCTTGTCTAAAGTCTCAGCTTAGAAGAGACCTGTGCACACACGTCTCTTAGAACACTCAATTCCCACTTTTAATTAAAACAAAAGTTGAATGATTGATTTGCTGAATCACTAAAACTGGTGACTGTGTAAAAATTAATTAGAAACTTGACTTTAACTGAAGAACTTTGACCAACGAAACTGGATCAGAATAATCTTTATTGGCAGGAATGATAATAATAAGGAACCAGATGTTTGTCGCATTGTTGGACAGCTGGGAAAGAGGACAAAGCTGGGACATTTAAAGGTACACAATGGACAGTATGTGAACCATAGCTTTGTTTACATATCATAAACATATATATAAAAAGCAGCAAATAAAAAATGTTTATATTATTTATATTACAAAGAAATCTAAAGAGCGGTTGTTTTGCTGCACAAACGTCCACAAACATGAAGTCTGTAACGATGACATCAGCGTTTCACTTGTTTTGTCGACGTTTCACTTCTCTGGCTGGATCTGGAATTATGGATCACAGCATGAAGAAAGGTACTGAACCATCAAAGACAGATGTGCAGTTAAAACATACACGTGTGCAGGTGAACAGCTGGCGTTAATGAGGTCGTACCTGGATTCACATTATTATGCTGTGAGTTCTCGTCCGGCTCTTCATAATCACTCGTCCCTTCAAGACCGCCGAGCTGAATCGGCTGCAATGGGGCATCATCTCCGTATCGATCAGCTGGGACATGTAACACATCTGCATTATCTGCATGTTAATCACTTTCAACAACTGTTCCATTATTCCCCTCGGTGAAAAGCCTTCGTACCGTTTGCACCGTGGATTGAGTGGTAGATGGAATCATCGCCTACAGTCAGTGGAGACGAGACAAAGTCACATTAGCACCTTAACCTCGGGTTTCTAACAAATCAACGTTGACTTCTAATGAATTAAGGATGTCCTGATTTAAACAAATTTAAGAAGGATGAGTGTTTAGAGCCGCAGTGGCGCCGGTGGATGAAGCATTCAGGAAGTAGACCTGGGAGAGGAGAGGCGTAGACGTGCTCGTGGGCTTCAGGCTGCGTGACCGAGTCCTTCTGATGGGCCCTCTGAGGGGCCGAGCGTCTGACACGTGGGGGAAATGCAGCGAAATCAGAAGGCGGCCATTAACAGCACGGCCGTACGGCTCACAGAGGGAGGAAAGACTGTTTGCACCAACCTGTCGATGCAACCTGTCAACACAAGAAATGTCTCGTCATTCAACTTTCGTCTTTGTTCTGCAGCGATCTCTTTGGCGTTACGACTTCTTCCTCACCCTTTGACCTCATGAAGAGATAAAGTAAGAGCGGGAGACCAATCAACGCCGCTCCACAGAGGGCCCCGACGACCAGCGGCACAAAGAACGCTGCACACAGAACCTGTGTTATTCAACATCAGAACCTGTCCACTTTTTGCCTCGGCTACTGTAGTGAACATAGCAAGCCAGCTAAACAGTGCACATACTTGCACCAGCTTTTTTAGGGTTTGTTGGCTCAAAATTTAAGTTCACCCTTTTGAAATAGAAAAGTAACATTCTGAACTTTCTTTGGTGTTTGAAATTGAAACTTAAATAGTTTGGGAAAATTACACAGTTGAACCTTTTTATTTAACTTAACTATGTCATCACAATGAACTATTCCTAAAGAAAGTAACCTGGCTTCCTTTAAAAAGATAAGATGATTCAAGCAGATGCTTAATTGAGCAAACTGTTATTAAGTTCACGTAACCAACACGTATAAATAAACTCACCAGGGTTCTTAGTCTGAACAACCTGTACTCATATTTGTTCAAATTAAACCCTTTTCTGCACTTACGTGATTCTGATTCGTTAGTCGTACCGTTGCTGCACTTTGCTGTTATGCTTTTTGACTTCTCGCTGACCACGTTGGAGACGGTGCAGGTGAATCCGGTGTCTCCGTCCTGAGGCGTGACGTTGTAAACCATCGTGGAGCCGCTCGTGGTTTCGTTCCTCACGGTCCAGCTGAAGGTGACGCTGCTGTCAGAGGTTGAACTGCAAGTCAGAGAAACTGTGCAGGAGTTGTTCTCTGCGTCCCAGGAGGAATCCAAAGTGACAGCAGGCTCTTTGGTTATCGGATCTAATGAGGCATTTGGGAGAAAGAGAGAGAGAGGAACTCAATTTGATAAAACCATGAAAACTGCAAAATAATTGGTTAATAACTGTGTCAGATGGACACATTGACAAGCTCTTAATATATGACGAAGGTTGAGAAACATTTGTTCATTGTTCATATGTGCGATTGTGCATTATATCCAACTGGCTTTTGCTATCAGACGCCATCTAATAACTTAAAGCTGCAGGTTGTCGAGCTGTGAAAACAAAGTTAAAAACAGAACCTGATGAGGTGATGATTTCTGCCCCTGTTGTGTCCTCTGTTATATAATCCATCAATCAACCAACTAATATATTATTAAGAGTTTATAAGTCATGAATTATTCTGAGGTTCTTACCATAAACTCTCAGATTGATGGTGACTGTTTCACTTTGTGTGCCATTCACGTCTGAGATAAATTCGAAAACACCAGAATCTTGGCGAGTCAGTTGTCTCACTGTTAAATTAAAGCTTGTGGGGTTCAGGTATAATCTGCCCTCGAACTGATTCTTTCTATAAACAATTTTTCCTGCTATGGTTAAATTAAAACCATATTTCCACTGTGGATCAGTGACCCCTTCAGTTGGTGCACATGAGGGCAACTCCACCGCGTCCCCCACTTTCTTATAGATGACACCATCACAGCGTGAAGCCTCCACATCTGAAACACATCAACACAGAACAGACGCTCACGGTCAGAAACGTTATGTTCATACAGGGAGAGCAAAGGGGGGGGTTGTGGCGTTGCTACCTTGTGATTGACAGCGCCGCCCAGTCTGAGAGCGATCTGTGTAAAGTTAATCGTCACGTGTTGACGCCTGAACACAAGATGGCGAAGACTAAAAGGCCGAACTGCAGGCTTCAAAACGTCTGTCCACTAATGGTTGACCTCATGTGCAGTGAGGAAATGAGATAATGTGAATTATAAATACGTGTTTATAAAAAAGATGCAATAGCTGTAACTAAGCAGAGGAGGCGTAAACTTATTTCCACAGAAATGGGATGAGCCAATCGTGAGTTGTGTAAGATTTAGACGTTTCTATCAAAGCAGAAGCAGCAGATTTGCTGACAGTTTATCAAAAAGAAGCAAAGCGTGTTCGCATATTCAAAACCACAAGACGCAATAAATGAATATTACCAACAGTGCATGATACATGTCCAACAACACGAGACATGAGAACACGTAATGCTTGTTATCCATCTTTAAACGCACACATTTGACGCCTTGACTTCATTTCATTCGTTGAATTACTCTCTCTCTCCCCACAGGCTCCATCCTAAGGACGCGACTTGGGGAATGGAGCTAAAACCATTGTATCACGGTACCAATCGATCAGATGCAGAGCAGGGGGGTACGTACCGTAGAGGCGACCCCCCAGGAGCACAACAGACGTGTATGCGAAGAAGCAGCTCAGGCAACCACCAGCCATCTCTGTGGGGAGAGATACGACGTGTGCTTCCTCTTCTCGTCACTCAAACTGTGAACCCAAACTGTGAGGCTGCAGAGTGGGGGGAGGTCTGTGTTGATGAAGAAGCAGCGTTGTGGGCCGATACAAGGCGCATTCATGAGAACGCGACTTCACATTATTAAAACGAGGGTTGCAGTAAATGTGTTTCCTTTAGGGGACAAATAATGTCTTCACGGACTATTGTGAGTGTAGCCGAGCGTTTATGGTGCGCCTGTACTTTGTGTTAATGACAAAACAACAACACGGAGCTCCGGTTCTGCGCCAAACCGCCCGCAACTTTATTTTTATCTTCTCCAGAAACCCCCCCCCCCCCCAGTTGAACACATCTTCTACTTCCTCTCCTTCCATCTCTTCCTTCACAATAAAAGCACCCACACCGGAACACTTGTGCAATGATAACGCTGTCGACGCGGCGCGAGACGAACCCCGCGGATGGGGGGCGCCCTCTGCAGGTGGTCGTGGCCGGACTGCCGTGAGGAACGGAGCGACACACCAGTGATCCTTACGGGTTTTTCTCTCGCCAACCGACGGATATTTCTTTACCTTCTTCTTACCGGAGACATCGGGGGACACCCGATGGGGCCCCTCTGATTGTACGCCTCTTCACACGACGGGGGAATTGTTTGCTGTGTGTTGTTAGCATAGCCGTAACCACGCATTCTTTGGAGGGGTTGTGTCCCCCCCAATATTGAAAATATACCAATCTGTCCCCCCCAATATACAGCAGAAAATATGTAAAATATATCTATGTACATATATCGACCGTACCGCCGGCCGGTCGGATCGTCAGCGCCCCCCGTCGGCTGTACCGTTCGCCGGTCGGATCGCCCCCCCCCCCTAACATATAATGGTTTGGCCCGCGGTCGGTCCAAGTGGGCGGTATCAGGCGCGAACCTGAAATGAGTTTGACACCTTACGGTAGAGTAAATGGAGGATTTTAGGTCACCTAAAAAGCGGAGAAAACTGTGCCAGCAGGCGAGCATTCGCGTTTTTTTCAGACAGTAAGTAACTTGATACCGAGCTAAATGTGTAAGCAAATAAAACTTGTAGCCTCATAAAAGCACGAGTCGCTGTTTTTCTGATAAAATGACATGTGGTCACAGTGCGGCATCACAGAGAGAGACAGGCAAGATGAGAGCAGTGGCCAGACAGGGACACGCTCTGGACATGCAGATGATCAGGTGAGAAATTAATGCAATTTAGTATTGCACATAGACAGTCATTTTACGTAAGTGGGCTTTCTTTTTCCATTGGAAGCTATCCTATTTGCTACAGTACTACTGTAAAAGCATAATTGTAATTGGTTGGTGTGTTTAAGGTCAGTAAATAGTAAGCAACTCAGTCACTATTACAGAGAAATTACACTATTCCTTTAGATGTGAATTTAAATGGTCAATGTGGTCCTCAAAACTGTTTTAAATGTGCAAATTTTCATATATGAATATAGAATTGTAGGCCATGAAAAAATAATAATATGGGGAATGGTATTCATTTGGACCCCCCCAATGTCTAAACCATGGTTACGCCCTTGGTTGTTAGGAATTTGCGTGCTATTTGGCATGAATTCCAGTGCTGTTTATTTAATCATTCAGGGTTCCCGCGGGTCCTTAAAAAGTCTTCAAATGCCTTAAATTAAAATTTGGGTAATTAAGGTCTTAAATTGTCTTAAATTTTACGTAAAGCTGCTGTAGGTATTAATTTTTAATGACTAGGAGAAAGCACAGTGGTGCGTCGTAAAACATCTAATAGTTGATTGATTTAGTATTGTGCGAAATGAGTCTCCGCAATTTAATAGCTGTTTACGGTACGTCGGCTACAGACGCTGACGTCAGGCTGCGTGTCGCCATTACGCGGTTGTCGATGTGAGGTTGAAAATGCAAAGAAGATGGGGAAGTGCAAATTTAATGACAAGTGGATGGAGGAGGATGCATTTAGGAGGTGGTTGGCGCCGATTGAAAACAACAATGAGGCAATGTGTAAACTCTGCAAAAAGACCTTTTCATTAGGGACCATGGGGCTCAAAGCCGTCGAGTCGCACATGAAAGGAGGAAAGTACCAGCGATGCGTTGCAGCAGCTAGCCATAGCGGGGCCAGGTTAATCCCTGCAACGACGTTACAAGTTCAGACGCCACCCCTCAGTCGGCTGTAACAAGTTTCATTTCAACACCAGACACCCAAAAGGCAGAGGTACTATGGGTTCTCCATACTGTGACGAGGCACAATTAATTTAAATCCAATGAAGACATACGTGGCGTCTTTGCTGCCATGTTCCCCGATTCGCAATGCATTGTGTTGTTTAGTGTAATATGTATGTTATGTTGGCTCTGTTCTGCATCACAAAGGAATCACTTTCATTGTTTACATCGATATTGGCCAAACAGTATTGGAAGCGTTATTGTCAGTTATTATACTGTCTCCTAATTTGAAAAATAGTTTTGATTTCCATTGTAGGAGGCAATAAATTGCGTATTCTTAAATTATATTTGTTGAGGTCTTAAAAAGGTCTTAAAAAGCATTACATTTTACTTTTGAAACGGTGCAAGAACCCTATCATTGAATGGTCATGTCGAAGGGCCACTATGACTTTCGATGCTCTTTAAGGTGCTGTAGAGTTGACGGGAATTGTGCCCTTTGGGTTTCTGTGTCGGTGCAGTGGTTTTAGTAGCTGATACCGTCATGGTTCTATACACTCAATAAAAATGATTCAAGCCCTTCTTGGATGTGATGAGTTGTTTGTGTTGTATCAAATACATTCATTAAATGAGGACCACCCTTTGCGCATGCGCCACATTTTGCGCTTTCAGCGTCGTTCTGCCTTTTTTGCTGACTGAAATTGCAACATAATTTTGTCTGGCTCGGGTGAAAATCCGTTATTTGGTAAGTAACTGTTTTTTGTTGTAGTGTATAACATAACTCTCTGTTAAATAACGCTTGCACACAAGTTGTGAATCGTTCTTAAAAGTTAAACTAGGGAAATTCTCCATTTCCATGTCAGCATTCAAGCTAACGTTAGTTAGCTGAGCTCGTTAGCATCATGACCAGAGGTCAGAAAGTCCGTCATCTTCAAAGCCACAAAGGGGTCAATCGCTGCCAACGTCGCTCCCTGTCCGTTAACACGGCTAAAGGAGCCAAAGTGCGCAGCTTTAGTAAATGTTAGCTAACGATAATGAAAGTGACGGTGGGCTCTCTGGTGATGGGCTCTCATTAGGCATTTGGGAGAAAGAGAATATTACCAACAGTGCATGATACATGTTCAACAACATGCACATGAGAACACACAGTGTTTGTTATTCATCAAGAATGTCTTCACGGACTATTGTGAGTGTAGCCGAGCGTTTATGGTGCGCCTGTACTTTGTGTTAATGACAAAACAACAACACGGAGCTCCGACTTTATTTTTATCTTTTCCAAGAACACACCCTCAGTTGAACACATCTTCTACTTCCTCTCCTTCCATCTCCTCCTTCACAAAAAAACACTCACACCAGAACACTTGCGCAATAATAACGCTGACGACGCGGCGCGAGACGACAACCGCGGATGGGGGGGGCGCGAGACACACGTCCTCTGCAGGTGGTCGTGGCCGGACTGCCGTGAGGAACGGAGCGAGACGCAACATCATTTTGTCTGGCTCGGGTGAAAATTCGTTATTTGGTAAGTAACTGTTTTTTGTTGTAGTGTATAACATAACTCTCTGTTAAATAACGCTTGCACACAAGTTGTGAAACGTTCTTAAAAGTTAAACCAGGGAAATTCCCCATTTCCATGTCAGCATTCAAGCTAACGTTAGTTAGCTGAGCTCGTTAGCATCATGACCAAAGGTCAGAAAGTCAGTCAGTCATCTTCAAAGCCACAAAGGGGTCAATCGCTGCCAAGGTCGCTCCATGTCCGTAAACACGGCTAAAGGAGCCAAAGTGCGCAGCTTTAGTAAACGTTAGCTAACGATAATGAAAGTGACAGCGGGCTCTTTGGTGATGGGCTCTGTTGTGTTCAAAAATGAAGAAACGCCGGACGGACAGAGGTCATCGCTGATCGAAAGGTTCAAATCAAATGTATTTAATAAAGGAGATGGCGTTGTGGTAAAAAGAACATCTCAGCTGAGGAGCCGCTGGTCTCAGCGACCAACAGGCCCCAGGTCAGTCCTTTGACCATCCCTAGTGCCCGTCTGTCGCCTCCACCAGCGAACTCGAGAACAATCGTTGCTACAGGTATTTATACCAATGCTTAAAGGTGTGAAAGTCAGTGTCCACACCTCTGGGAGTGGTCTTCTGGTGAGTTCAATGTAGCTCGGATTTCGGATGATCCTTAGTCAATATCAGTTGTTGTTTTACATGCATGCATTCCAGTTGATTACATTACATCAAATACAATCATAACTGTACATTGGTATTATTCTATTACAGTTGCAGATTTACAGTGGTTTTACAATATTGTCATTACTTTATGGATTACACAGTTTCAGAATCATGGCTGTATTCTGGTGTACACTATATGCATTTTTATTTTATGAACCGGGTCGTATATTTGTTTCTAATATCCTACAGCTCTCGTGAGGCATTTGGGAGAAAGAGAATATTACCAACAGTGCATGATACATGTTCAACAACATGCACATGAGAACACACAGTGTTTGTTATTCATCAAGAATGTCTTCACGGACTATTGTGAGTGTAGCCGAGCGTTTATGGTGCGCCTGTACTTTGTGTTAATGACAAAACAACAACACGGAGCTCCGGTTCTGCGGCAAACCGGCCGCAACTTTATTTTTATCTTTTCCAAGAACACACCCTCAGTTGAACACATCTTCTACTTCCTCTCCTTCCATCTCCTCCTTCACAAAAAAACACTCACACCAGAACACTTGCGCAATAATAACGCTGACGACGCGGCGCGAGACGACAACCGCGGATGGGGGGGGCGCGAGACACACGTCCTCTGCAGGTGGTCGTGGCCGGACTGCCGTGAGGAACGGAGCGAGACGCAACATCATTTTGTCTGGCTCGGGTGAAAATTTGTTATTTGGTAAGTAACTGTTTTTTGTTGTAGTGTATAACATAACTCTCTGTTAAATAACGCTTGCACACAAGTTGTGAAACGTTCTTAAAAGTTAAACCAGGGAAATTCCCCATTTCCATGTCAGCATTCAAGCTAATGTTAGTTAGCTGAGCTCGTTAGCATCATGACCAGAGGTCAGAAAGTCAGTCAGTCATCTTCAAAGCCACAAAGGGGTCAATCGCTGCCAACGTCGCTCCATGTCCGTAAACACGGCTAAAGGAGCCAAAGTGCGCAGCTTTAGTAAATGTTAGCTAACGATAATGAAAGTGACGGTGGGCTCTCTGGTGATGGGCTCTCATTAGGCATTTGGGAGAAAGAGAATACAGTAATCCCTCGTTTATCGCGGGGGTTACGTTCCGAAAATGACCCGCGATAAGTGAAATCCGCGAAATAGAAAACTTTTTTTTTTTTTACAATTAGCAACTATTACATGTATACAAATACAGTGACTCGCGTGTAGGCCGTTTCACTGCTCTTCAGACTGGGCCGCTGCATCCTGACTGCGCTCTGCAGTGTTCTCTTCTTCTGAAGCCCGCGGTGCAGGTGTGTTTGTTCGGGAGAAGAACATAGTGATAGGCAGCTGTTGTCGCTCTTTTTTCTTCTTTGCAAAAAGATCCTTGTACACCGACATGCCACCATCGATTACGTTGGAGAACTGTAATGAACGGCTCGGGAGTGAGTTTTTAGCGAATCAGAATGCAGAGCACAATGCACCAAAAAAAAAAAATGCATTATGAAAATCCGCGAAATAACGAATCCGCGATAAGTGAACCGCGAAATGGCGAGGGATCACTGTATTACCAACAGTGCATGATACATGTTCAACAACACGCACATGAGAACACACAGTGTTTGTTATTCATCAAAAATGTCTTCACGGACTATTGTGAGTGTAGCCGAGCGTTTATGGTGCGCCTGTACTTTGTGTTAATGACAAAACAACAACACGGAGCTCCGGTTCTGCGGCAAACCGGCCGCAACTTTATTTTTATCTTTTCCAAGAACACACCCCCAGTTGAACACATCCTCTCCTTCCATCTCCTCCTTCACAAAAAAAGCACCCACACCAGAACACTTGCGCAATAATAACGCTGACGACAACCGCGGATGGGGGGGGCGCGAGACACACCGTCCTCTGCAGGTGGTCGTGGCCGGACTGCCGTGAGAAACGGAGCGAGACGCAACATCATTTTGTCTGGCTCGGGTGAAAATCCGTTATTTGGTAAGTAACTGTTTTTTGTTGTAGTGTATAACATAACTCTCTGTTAAATAACGCTTGCACACAAGTTGTGAATCGTTCTTAAAAGTTAAACCAGGGAAATTCTCCATTTCCATGTCAGCATTCAAGCTAACGTTAGTTAGCTGAGCTCGTTAGCATCAGTCAGTCATCTTCAAAGCCACAAAGGGGTCAATCGCTGCCAACGTCGCTCCCTTTCCGTAAACACGGCTAAAGGATCCAAAATGTTCAGCTTTAATAAATGTTAGCTAACGTTAATAAAAGTGACGGCGGGCTCTTTGGTGATGGGCTCTCATGAGGCATTTGGGAGAAAGAGAGAAACTGAATTTGAGCTCTTTTTGAGTTCATGACACAACTTTTTTAAAACCTCTAAAATAATAATATAGCATAAAGTATAGGACAAAATATTACCGTATAAAAAATCCCGTTGAAATGTGGTCTAAACGTAGACGTCTACGAATACACGTTGAATTTTTTTAACTTTTAAACCATTTGGCAACGTCTTTTCAACCCAAAAATTCTCTGTGGGTGCAATTATGTTGAGCAATGGAAGTTGGTCGTGTACTCACAGAGTACAAACCGGGCCTCATCCTCACAATCCGCCAACGAAGACAGAGATCACAGAAGAGAACTGCTGAGGTATTAATGGATTATTTACCTGGTAATTACTGGGAGGGAATATTTGGGAACAACTGATCCTTCATAATAAATGCGCTTGCTGCAGTCTGATAAATGCAGTGACAGGTGACCCTCCGACTTGAACGTCAGCTGCTCGTTGTGTATTTGTTATAAAAGTGTGTTGGTACGTTGGTATGTTCATAAGAACAGTACAGGGAGTTAACTTTATCACTAAGAGCTTGAGGAGACCTGCTCAGTGCAAGTGAAGGAGGTGGAGACACGGAGCAGGTGAGATGATGATGACATCATGCATGCTGTGTTATGTTCACATGAAGAAGCTTTAAGCCAAAGGTGTGATCATTGAATGTACTGTAGTGTTAAGTGAACAGGGATTGTTCAGGTCAGTAAGGGATTTCACATTCGGCCATCAGATGAAACCAGGAGAGAGTCACGTGACGTCTTGGAGCAGGAAGGAGTTCACGGGGGAGGAGCCACGTTTGAATGTGCAGCCAATCACATACGACTGCAACTGAAGGGAGTTGGAGAAGAACCCGAAGCCTCCTGTGAACCAACAATGATGGACATGAGACTTAACGAGGGGACTTCTTTATTTGGCAAAATATTATACTATTCATACCGTTTATCGTTTTGTAATTAGTTATTAAAGTCTTTATAATTTTTAAACTCCAGCCAGTGACTCTTTTTGACTTCTCGTCTCAGCCGAGGCGAGTTTAAAGAAGCATTCCTTCCTCCGAAGCTCAGAACCTGAAATCTGTTGTTCAATAAAAGATTAGAAGTGTAAAAAGTTATATTTTAATCAGAAGTAAAAGAGAAGATGACTTCATATTGAATAATATCACCAACGCACTGAAGCTCAAAGACGTCAAACTGCTTTTTCCTTTTATTCAAACCAGCCTCCATTAAAAGTTTTCTACAGAAGCTTAAAAAAACAAAGTGACTAAGAAGAAAAAATGAAATGTCCATTAAACACTCAATACCAACATTTGAATAAGAATATATGTAATAATCTAGACTATTTTCACCAAGTAAAACCTATAAAGACTTATGATGTATTTACTTTAAATTATCTTTTCATGGGTTAACTACAAAACACTCTCATATCAGGAAAGAGGAAGTTCACACAATCATTACTCAAAAAGACAAAGATGTGGTTTTTCATGTCGTCATCCGTTCCCCTGGTTCTGTCCATGCAGATGTTTTATTCATTTGAACAAAGAGAAGGAAAAGAGATTAAAGGTTATTTAAGAGTAACAGGTGTACGTGTTGTGTTTGACCTTTGCTGCCTGCTGGTAGTAATACACAAGTACACGTACATTGTACTACATGGTCTGTTGTACTTGAAGTACCTGCAGTAGTTTCCATCGACACGTAAACGCTCTCCTCTCGTTCCTCATTCGTCCCTGTTAGAAGGATCAGATGAATGCATGAAGAGACACTTTGTTCTCCTTTATTAAAGCTCTGCTGGCCTACAAAAGCATCTCAACTACTGCAGCTTGTTCCCTTATAGAAGTATTCACATTAGCCATCAATGTCTTTAAGAAGGAAAAGATCTCACCTTTTGACTTTCTGTAGCGACGCAGAAACAGCAGCAGGAGAATAATCAGTAAAACTCCAGAAACCAGACCAACAACCAACAGCACGAGAAACACAGAGCTTGTTGCTGCTTCTTCAGGATCTACACACAAGTACACACCAACCATGAAGAGATACACAAGGACTGCAACACATACACTCACATGAACCTTTGATCACACAACATTCACCTTTCACTGCTGCTCATGTTAGTTTAATTTGTGTCTTTAAACACTAAAATGTATAAAACTATATTGTCTCACACAAACAAATAGTTTAATTCAGTTACACCTTTTGTAACTCAGACTGTAACACATTACAAAAGAAAACATCTTCTACTCGTACTCACGTTCCACTGACAACCAGCTCTCTGCTGAGGTCAAATTCTCCAAACCTGGAGGTGAATTCCTTCCTCTACATTTATAAAAGCCTTCATCTGACTTAGTAACTGCAGAGATAAACAGCTCCCTTTTGAGAGGATTTGGGAGGAGTTTGTCATTTTTATAGAAATCCACTTCATCAAGAAGTTCTTTTGTCCTCAACATGCAGCCAAGAGTGACCGAATGTCCCTCAGTCACAGGATGGACAGAACTCACCAGGATGACATCACCACCTGTAAAGAGAGCAGAGGACAGGAAGTCAAACAAGCCGATGTCCAAAGAAAAGAAGACATTTATAGTTTACATTTGATATCCACATTCACACAGTAGCTGAGCGAATAGCTGCATTTCATGGATAAAAGAGACGGCTCTTTGGTGACGTACATGCTCACAGTTACATCTTTAATTAATGCTCAATATGTCGCAGACAAATGTCCACTTAGTGGCAGTAAGCTACAGAATGGTCTAAAAGGTCCAAAGTGGAGGAGCCAGGATGGAGCCAGATAACTCTACAGCTCCTCCTGGTTTAAAGTCAATGGTGGATGTCTATGGTCATAAAGAGGAAAGTCAACCACAAAGACGTGTTGGACAATACAGAGAAATGATACTGAAACAAACTAAATATTGAGTTAAAGTCCTTATAAAGTCACCTTAAAATGTCAGCACTCTACAATAAGATGTGTAACTACTTTAGATGTAAAACGTTTAAATGAATGTAAACTCACTGTGTGTAGTGATGTTGGCTGCATTGCTGGACTGTGTTGCAGACTCACACCAGTACACTCCACTACTCGCTCTAGTGTCGGTGTTGCATGTGGATCCAGTCATTTGTCCCCAGTTACAACCAATGTACACGTGGCCATAATTAGAAGCCTTCATCACTCTCCACTCAGTAGAGTTTCCCTCACAGCTCAGTGACAGTGACTCTGTGCTGAAGTGCTGCAGTCTGTGAGGACTCACTGTGAGAGACGCTGCTGGATTCACACCTGAAGACACGTCATTAGGAGACACACACAGGACAAACAATGTCAACACAAACAGGACATTTATTGTCTTGTGCAAGAATATACAAGTGTGAACAAACTCACCTCCAGACCAGACAAATTTCACATCACTGTACAGAGTGTAAAACACAGGATCTCCTCTTCCAGCTCTGCACACATATCCTGCTGTGTGTGTCTGTCCATGAAGACTGTAGGAATCCTGTACAGTCCCAGTGGTGCTACCAGCTAGAAGCTCATAGGTGTAGTAGAGTGACAGTTCTGGAACAGCCTGATACCAGAAGAACCTCCATCCTGCAGACGGAGGTTCAACACTGCAGGTCAGAGTCACTGAGTCTCCAGGACTCGTCCATGATGGAGACACTGTGAGTACAGGCTGAGGGACATCTGTTGGAAAGAGATTTCACAGAATAAAGACGTGTTGTGATGAGTCCTTGGTGGATTACTTTCACTGTTGAAGTCCTCTTTTTCTTCAACTGTGTAAACCAGGTGTCATGGTATAATGTCTCAACATTTTAACCAATTAAACAACTCAAATATTCTGTTTGATTCAGGGAAATAAAAATGCTGACATACGTGATGTTTTTAATGTGACAGCATCACTCCATTCTGTTGTAGAGGCTTCATCCTTCAGTCTTCCCTTACAGCTGTAGTCTCCTGTTTGTGCATATGTGATCACGGAGCCTTTTGGGTGTTGAGGTGTGTAATAGTCGGGTGTTCTCCATTCATACTCCCACTCAGAGCCTCCTCCCTCCTTTACTCCACATGTGAGACTGATCGTCTCTCCAGAGTAAATTTCAGGCCAGTTTTTTTGCAGAGTCACAACAGCTCTGTTTGTGACTGTTCATCATCATCAGGTCCCAAATAGAAAAGTTAGACAAAGTTTTAGTGTGAGTCTTAATCCTTAATCATAAACTGTGAATTCTTCACGAACATGACAATATTGACGCTTTTATTTTGAAATTTTATTTTGACAGCGTGCAGCCACTTACGGTGGCGCGAATAATACATGCCGCGCAACAAGGACAGTAGTCAGATCCAGTCTTTGACGATGTAAGTCATACTACTTTAACTCTGCACTTGTTTGCCCAAAGGGTTACTTTTCTTAGCTGTACCCTATGTCAATTTAGGTGTGTTCACTGTCACTGTCAGTGTTGGTTCTGCTATATAGCCGTTCAAATAATAGCTGTCCACTCGAGCTAAGTGGCTAATCTGGCTAGCGAGCCTGTATTCCTGTTGATGGAAGTTGTGTATTACTGTATTCCATCTGAATGAGTAAAGCCAGATATCTGCGGAGAATTGCTCATGTAATCTTTTTCTCTTCTAAATAAATGTTAACTTTTTGACTTTGACTGATCAACATGCTGGATCCTTCTTATCAACCAACTCGGGGGGGATCGTAGATCCTGACACTATCCATCTGTAATTCTGTATCACCGGAGTAAATACAGAATAATGTGGAACAATCAGATGTCTGCGTGTTCTCTGACCGGAACCCCGTAGTGGTCAATGTCCATCATTACATTAGCATCTCAGGGATCGAATCCACAACACAAATACTTTTTCTACATGTTTTGTTTCACATCAACTATCAGTTTAGTTCTTTACCGACTGGATGGCTGTACTCTGTGTAGTAAACTGGGTCTCCTCTTCCTCCTCTGCACCAGTAGACTCCTCCATCAGAGGGAGAGATGCTTCCACTCTGGGGGAGAACACCATCTCCTGGTTTCAGAGGTTCAGAGGTTTTCTTGTCTCTGTACCAGAAGTACTTCCATCCAGATGATGATGATGATGATGACCCCACAGAGCAGGTCAGGGTCACACTTCCCTCTACAGGGGAGTCTTTGCTCAGTTGGGCCTTTGGTTGTGCTGTTTTAATGTAAAACAAACTCATAACAATGTAATTATTGTGCCTGTGAAATAGTCTTGATTTTTAAAATTTCTTTAACTTTCTCGAAGATAATTCAGAGTATTCATCACAGAGACAATGTTAAATTCTTGCAGCTCTTTAGTCAGAGTCACTGATTCTCCTTCATACAAGGAGGACTCAGGAGTTAAAGGTTTACATCTTTGTCTGTGTAACAGTTACTTCTTTGCTTTACTGAATCAGTTTCATTAAATGAACAACGATACAAGATATCAGTGATTCATGTTTCCAACATAGTTTTAATTTAACAAAGTTGTAGACAGAAGAAGTCGTCAAAGTCAGTCTCCCTGTAATAAATAATAAAAGCAGGGTTCGTACGGTCATGGAAAACCTGGAAAAGTCATGGAATTTCAAAAAGTTCATTTCCAGGCCTGGAAAAGTCATGGAAAGAAATAAAATCCTAAACGTTTTGGAAAACTCATGGAAATGTGTTATATTTCTATGGTCATGTGGTTCATTTAAGATTAGGTTTGAAATCATTCATATGGTTTTAAAGAGACGCAGGATGCTCTGATACTCAAAGCGCAAATGATTCGCACCGCGGCTGTGTAAATGCGCCTTAACTGAAAAGTGCGGTATTTCAGGAATCATCCAGTGTCAGGGAAGTGTAGATTTAACCGTGGTTGGCTACATATGGAAAAGTGCATCTCATGATTTCCGACAAACAAAGACCCGGGACGAGCAGAATGTAAGTAATGTGGAGGCGGAACATGATATATTTTAAACATGGGAGAGTGGCATTAACGAGCCGTGCTAAAGGAAACAGACATCACTGTGCCGCTGCTAGCGAATATACTACAGGAACACCATCAGAGGGCGACTGCTAGCGAAGCCACCAGGCCGAGCAGCACGTCTCTCTCTTCGGCCACCAGCGCTGTACGTGCGCTGCCCGTCTGCTAGCAGCAGTTCCACGTTGTAAACAGAGGGCGTGGCGGCGTTGCTTCGGTGTTCTTTGTCATTGAGCCGTATTAAGCTGCAGACACATGACTTAAAATTTCCTCCTCGAATGACAGAAGATCATTTGATTCTTTTCGTTTTGTGTTCATTTTATGCTGCAATGCGTCAACATAATATAAAATTACTACATTCTGTCACACGGCAGATAAACGATACGCTCTTGTGCCTAATGCAGCTCTTCTGTGTTACACCTACTGCAAAAACGACGTAAAGGAGCGTCAATCCGTAATAAATGCGTTCAATACAAGTTACATATCTTTAGTTCCTGCACAATGACCATAAACTAAATGATTAATATTCCCAAAATTCCAATGAAGTAATACATACACTTCCGGCTCTTACAGAGACTGTATGTCTACTGTAAACTTTTAAGAGTTCATGTATTGTCCATAATTTGAAGTAAAATGATGGAAAACAAGTATTGTTTTAGGCACTGTTTAGGCATGTTTTTAGTATGTTTTATAAGTATCGTTTTAGAACTGGTATCAGGAAAACCCCAAACGATACTCATCAATAGTGGATAATTGTATAATTATAACATCTTGAGACCAAATTGAATGGTGGCGGAAACACTGCATGCTTTAATATTCTCATTGTTAGTTTTAAATGCTACATTTTCTCACATTTTCATGTATACTCTGAGATTTCACACTTATTTGGTCATGGAAATTTTGTTTGAAGTCATGGAAAAGTCATGGAAATCCACTGGTCAAAATGTGTATTAACCCTGTAAAAGGTTCACTGACTAATGAGAACATTTCACCCGAAGGAGGCGCTAAACTCTGCGGATAAATTTGATCTGTTTGTGTTACCAATAATTAATCAATCACTCATTTCTAGTTTCTCAATAGGGATTAAATATAGAATAGTTTGTCTTATCATGTTAATGTCCATTTATATTCAGTCCATCTTTCTTTGTTTTATTTAAAATGATCAATATTATCTGATAATTGATCCTTTTAAACAAAGATCAGCTGACTAAACAGCATCAGTGTTCAACTTCAAGGTTCCTCTTACACTAGTTAACATTTATTAATTATCACTACATTATATCACATTAGCACTTTATTAAACAGGTTTATTAAATCAACACGTCTCATTAATATAAAAGTGCTTTAATGAACTCGTTGTGATGGTAAAACTTTGATCACTTACCTGATACACTTAGAGAGACTTTATTACTTCTTCTTATAACGTTGGGACGGATCTTCTGATAAGCAACACACTGATATTCACCACTATATCCTATATATAGATATGATAATGTAAATCTATTCGCAGGTCTGTAGTTGATGAACTCTTGACTATTCCATCTGAATGAGTAAATCCAATCAGTGTGTTTTCCTTCCTTTAAGTCACATATGAAGGTAACTTTCTCTCCAGTAAATAAAGGAGACCAGTTTGGTTCAATATGCAGCAAAGCATCTAGAAACAAACAAAACATGCAAATAATAAATTGTGTTTTCTTTCTTGTATTCATCATAATTGAACTAAAGAAAGGAGATATTCAATGTAAAACAGTGATAGAAGGTGTTGAATCGTCTTGAGTGAATTTATCAAGTAAAGAAAGTTGTATAAAAACCTTGAGCGTGTCCACAGTAGAGGAGAATATTCAGCACTAAAATAAAGTGAGAAACATCATCAAACTGACAGAAACGATTAACTTCTGGCATTTAAAGGGTTGTATGTATGAAAACTATGATTTAAAGAGAGAAAAGTACTCACAGAAAAGCCCCAGCACACCAGCAACACACAACAAAGCGCGTCCCATCCTCACGTCCACGCTTACACTTTGCTTCTGAGAAACGCTTCGTGTCTGCAGACGTTTTCAAACGTGTGAAACATGAAGAGAAATGTGGAAATGCAGAGACAACATATGAATATTAGACGATAGGTTTTCTCTAACTTCTGTTTATGGTCCGTGCTTCCTTCCCTTTTAACCCACCAGACGCTGTTAAACACGTCACATTTCATACAAAGGTTTCTGTAAAGGCAGCTACAGGAAGTCAAAGCTCGAACAGGACAGAAATAAAGAGGCATGCTGAAGTGGACGTGAAGACAGACGAAAACCTCTCGCCGCTATCATATATATATATATATATATATAGCGGCGTTCCTTGGATCACGTACATTATTAAGCCGCAATTGAGCTGCAGAATTTTCTTAACGCGAATGACAGGAGATCTTTATATTCTTTTCGTTTGTGTTTATTTCCGCAGAAAAAAGCGTTAACCAAACACACAAAAAGCACATTATGTCACACGGTCACACTGGTGCCTAATCAGCTCATCTAGGTTTCACCTTCTGCAAACATGACCTCAATATAAGCAGGAAAATAAAGGGGGGCGTCATGCCAACATATATATTGAATATAATATCCTCAATATAAGAAAGTCCAATTGAACAATATATACACTCAATATATGGTCTCTTACATATCCGCATGCTGGGTTGCTCGTTCATTAGTAGCAGATGATTGGGAGTCAAAGGCTCCATGTCCCATGGATCATTTGACGGGCTAGTCAGTGGGCTTCCATTAATGATACTTTGGACCACACTTTACCGTAAGGCTGTACAAGCACTGCTTTCTTCATCCCATTCTTGTTTCCCTTCACAGAGTTTTCTTAGTATACGCTTGGCAGGTAATACCAGTGGCGCAAGAAATCCAAGAGGATCATAGAAAGAATCTGTTCTCTCACAAGAGCATTAAGGATCCTACGTGTGGTAGGAATCTGCCGCTCCCAAACCCCTCCTTGGAGTGAAGCAGCTGGTCTGTTAATAATCCAATTTATGTCCTTCTTCAATTTGTATTTATATATATTATAACCAAATGATACAACATACAAAAGCAATCACTCAGATAGAAATACATTATAAACCTTGTGCCACTTGGTGGATGATTTCACTACTTGAGGAGACACTTCACTACAGACTCACAACCTCCAGTGCAATATGATACACACATAAAACACCTTGTAATCAATCTGTATGAATATGAATCAAAAATTCACATTTTAACTAATTTAATCATGTTTGTTCTGGTAATTGTGACACATTTTATCAGCAGTGACTTTAATGCGTCCTTTTGAATTCCAACAAACACCTCACAGCTGAATGTTTTTACAAAAGAATCGTCTCTTGTGAGACTGGTTTAAAAAAGAAAACGGTAAATACATTTGTGCTGTAAAGATAAAGATAACTCTGCAGTCAGTCTGAGGACAAGAACCACAAGGCTTCTCAGAATCAGTAGACAACCGACAACCTGTTTCCCTTCATACACATGATGTGTTGTTACTGGTTACGTGGTGTCACATGACCACATTCACACCACAGCTGATCTGCTTCTACAGAGGTGTCGTACTCTGATGTATGGTAAGATGTATTAATAGAAGTAGACATTAAGTTCAATAAACTGCAAAACAAATTATGCAACATTTTTATGATAAAACATTGTTGTTACAACGATGGCTACAAAGTTAAATTTGTAAAGATCTGACAAACAAGTTCCCCACTCTGATCCACTCCCCCTCGTTTGAGTACTGCAATGAAAAAAGTTGAAATCATTCATTTTAGAGAAGGTACAGAACGGCCTCTGGGTATAATGTTTTTGCGTCCAAACTTTATCAAGTATTGGAAAACTTTGGCACTTTGACAAATGAAATCAGCCCACAGTGCAACAACCAGACCATGCACTGCATTAGTGCACGTAATGTGAATCCTGTGTCACGGTTTGGGTTCACGTATCGTTTTATTTTGTAGTTTCATGCATCTTGTGCTCCTGGGTAACTTCACTTCCTGCCTCGTCCTGTCATCCCCTGTGATTGTCGGCCATGTCATGATTGTTTCCACCTGTGTCCAATCACCTTCACAGTGTATTTAAGCCATTTGTGTCTCTTGTGCCTTGTCACATCATTGTTGAATGTATTCATGTTACGCCTGCTTGTCATACTGAATGTCTTGTGAGTTTCTGGTCCCTGCCTGCGTTTTTGCCCCTTTGGGCAGCAGTGCACCTCCTTCCGCGCTGGGCTGCAGCAACCTCCCGATCCGGCTCCACAATTCAATTCCCCCCAGTCCCGACCAGTGCCTCCAGTTCCGGCTCCAGGACTCGTTCGCCCAACTCCCCTTGAATCCTTAAACTCCCAGTTTGTCAAAACGCCACATGGTGATTGTTCACTGATTAGAGTGTCAGGCAATTGGTGTTTTGCATTTTGAGGAGTCTGTCGAGGCCAATCAACCTTTTGTCTCCTAAACGACAGGGGAGTGGTCAGCGCGGCCGACCAGAGGTTAAATTCCCCTTCTCAGGCCTGATTTTGCCAGCATGCATCTCTTCTACAATGCCATCAGACATCCAGGCGACCTGAAATTGGACCAAGTATCTTTTTCTTTAAACCAAGCTAGTCTGCTAAATTTGTTGTTGATTCTAGTGTCTTAGGTTAATTTGATTGCTGATTTGCTTTAGTTCTTGCCGTTTTACTGCCAGTTCTCTGTTTGAGGTTATCTTGGCTCCTAGTTTGCTTAAACTCTCAATCTTTTTTTAGTGCCAGTTGGTGCTCTAGACTGTACTATTAACTGCCAGTGTGCCCTCCTAACTCTGCTAGGTTTGACCTGATCTAAATCGGTTTTGCCTTCACTTCTGAATGAAATAAGACTTAAATCCTTAAACTCTGACAGGGGTGCATGGGAGGCAGGACTCAAATGCAGACGTTTTAGAAAACAAAAAGACTAATAGTCACAAAAGGCAAAAGTAAAAGGCCGAAACAAAATGGCCAAGGGGCAAAAACGCATTCAGTTACCGGGGAAAAGGGCAGGCAGGAACGAGACACATCCAGGGGGGCTGAAGACAAGAAACATCCACGACGATAGACAATGACGCGACAAGTGACACAAGAGACACACTGCTTAAATACACTAGGGAGGTGCAGGTGATTGGACACAGGTGGAAACAATCACAATCACAGACGATGACAGGACAAGGCAGGAAGTGAAGTTACCCAGGGAGACAAGAAGCAGAAAACTACAAAATAAGATAGGAAATAAACCCACACCGTGACAGTACCCCCTCCCCTCCTCTTCAAGGGCCAAATTCCAGACGGCTCTAAACTGGCAGAGAGCAGACAAGTGGTTGGAGGGAGGGAAACCAGAGACGTTGGTCGGACCGCCCGGGAAACTCTGGCCAGACGACCGGGGAGCCCCTGGGGGTCGGCCCGGCGGACAGGCAAACGGCCAGGGAGCCTCCGGGGGTCGGCCCGGCAGATGGTCATTTGGCCGGCTCCGGAGCGGTGACTGCAGGGCACAGAACGTCTCTGGAATGGCTGGCTCGGGGACATGGGAAATCTCCGGGGTCGGCGGCGGCGGCACGGAACACCTTTGCAGTCGGCGGCGGCGGCTCGGGGACATGGAACACCTCCGCAGCCGGCGGCGGCAGTCTCTCTTAATTACACATCATTAAAAAACACATCATTAATGATCACCCTCTTTGGGGATAAAATTGGGAGAAATCCATAAAGGACGGCAATAAGCATCCGTCCCCAGGCTTTAACATCACATTGTTGTGATGTCGCGCCCCCGACTCCGCCAGTCCCGGCTCCCCGACTTGCGCCCCCGACTCCTCCAGTCCCGGCTCCCCGTGATTCTGCCGATTCTGTGCTGGCGATGTCACTCCTGCAGCTGAAGCCAGAGGGGGTGGTTGCTTCAGTGGAAGCCAGAGCGGAACCAGATAGGTTGCGAGGTGCTGACGTGCTGACGTTTTGGGAGCCAGTAACGAAGAAGCCATACGCTGTACTCGTCTTCCTTTGGAGATTGTTTTCAGTTGTGTTGTTTTCCTTCATGCAATATCCTTGTTTTGCCGTTGCTACAGATCTCCTGGGTTTATTATTTTAACTTGTTTACGCCCTCCACCCCCAGACACTTTAGGGACTTAACACTGGGGTCAAAGTAATGAAATAAACAAAAGGTCCCTTTTGTTCTACACACCTCTCCCTGCCTAACACAGTCTATCCCTAACCAGCTTACCTCTCTATGGCCAAAACTACAGGGATGACCCCCTCCCAGCTAACATAGTGTGTGTAACAAAGATTTACATACGTGATGCAAATGTACACCCATGGGCAGAACTACCTACCCCTTCTCCAGAAGGTCTTCAGTGGCCACGCCTCCTCGCCAACAGCCAACCAGCACCGCACACCTGTGAACTGAGAAAGGGGCACTAATCCCCCCTCGGTCCCCCACTCACACAGTTAAAGGGGCAGAACAAAATATGGGGACTTGTACCAGCGTGTGAGAAGAAAAGGGTTAACTCTAATTTCCTGTGATCTTTTATCACATTGCTCCACTCGTAGTGCATCCCAGTTACAATCATGTTGAGCAATGGAAGTTAGTCGTGTACTCACAGAGTACAGACCATCCTCACAATCCGCCAACGAAGAGAGATCACAGAAGAGAACTGCTGAGGTATTAATGGATTAATTACCTGGTAATTACTGGGAGGGAATATTTGGGAACAACTGATCCTTCATAATAAATGCGCTTGCTGCAGTCTGATAAATGCAGTGACCGGTGACCCTCCGACTTGAACGTGAGCTGCTCGTTGTGTATTTTTTATAAAAGTGTGTTGGTACGTTGATGTTCATAAGAACAGTACAGGGAGTTAACGTTATCACTAAGAGCTTGAGGAGACCTGCTCAGTGCAAGTGAAGGACGTGGAGACACGGAGCAGGTGAGATGATGATGACATCATGCATGCTGTGTTATGTTCACATGAAGAAGCTTTAAGCCAAAGGTGTGATCATTGAATGTACTGTAGTGTTAAGTGAACAGGGATTGTTCAGGTCAGTGAGGGATATCACATTCGGCCATCAGATGAAACCAGGAGGGAGTCACGTGACGTCTTGGAGCAGGAAGGAGTTCACGGGGGAGGAGCCACGTTTGAATGTGCAGCCAATAACACACGACTGCAGCTGAAGGGAGCTGGAGAAGAAGCAGAAGCCTCCTGTGAACCAACAATGATGGACATGAGACTCAACGAGGGGACTTCTCTATTTGGCAAAATATACTATTCATACCGTTTATCGTTTTGGAATTAGTTATTAAAGTCTTTATCATTTTTAAAGTGACTCTTTTTGACTTCTCGTCTCAGCCGAGGCGATTTTAAAGAAGCATTCCTTCCTCCGAAGCTCAGAACCCAACAGAAACACTGCTTAGACCTGTTTATTTATTTATTTATTAATGATGCATAAAATGATCAAACATTACAAAATGTAGTAAACACAAACAGCACCTGGTAAACCTTTAAACATGACAAAAATAAACATGATTGTTGGCGAAATATGTTGTTCAATAACAGATTAAAAGTGTATAAAATGCGTAAAGATTTTTTTTATCAGAATCAAAAGAAGATTATTTCATATTAAATAATATCACCAACACATTGAAGCTCAAAGACTTCTTTTTTCTGCTTTTCAAACCAGCCTCCATTCAAAGTTTTCTACAAAAGCTTTAAAAAAACAAAGTAACTGAGGAGAAAAAATTAAATGTACAGTAAACACTAAATACTAACATTAGAATAACAATATATGTAATAATCAAGACTATTTTCACCAAGTAAAACCTTTAGAGACTTATGATGTATTTCCTTTAAATTATCTTTTCATGGGTTAACTACAAAACACTGTCTCATATCAGGAAAGAAGAAGTTCACACAATAATTACTCAAAAAGACAAAGATGTGGTTTTTCATGTCGTCATCCGTTCCCCTGGTTCTGTCCGTGCAGATGTTTTATTCATCTGAACAAAGAGAAGGAAAAGAGATTGAAGGTTATTTAAGAGTAACAGGTGTACGTGTTGTGTTTGACCTTTGCTGCCTGCTGGTAGTAATACACAAGTACACGTACATTGTACTACATGGTCTGTTGTACTTGAAGTACCTGCAGCTGTTTCCATCGTCACATTTTGGTAATCGCTCTCCTCTGGTTCATCATTCGTCCCTGTTAGAAGGATCAGATGAATGCATGAAGAGACACTTTGTTCTCCTTTATTAAAGCTCTGCTGGCCTACAAAAGCATCTCAACTACTGCAGCTTGTTCCCTTATAGAAGTATTCACATTAGCCATAAATGTCTTTAAGCTCAAACACAGAATCTGTGACATCAAAGACTTTGTCTTTCATTTAAAGGACGGTCAACGAGTCACATGATCATCTGATTCTAGTATTTAACAGCTGTGTGATGAACACACAGGATTTACTGCACCTTGTTTACGTTGTCCAGAGCCTCTGATTGTTTCATAGAGACAAGAATCACCTGCAGAGCAGTGAAGATAAAGACGAGGTCATTCAATCATTTCAACCACTTTGTATGAATTATAAAATCTATGTAATGCATAATGAATATATTATATATATTTTATTTTTCATTATATAATGCATACAATAATCTTATCAAACAGATATGGAAATGTTTAAAGTAAAGAACATATTAAATAAATCAGGAATAAAACTGACCATGAAGAAGAGCAGCGTAATGTCCGTCTTGAGTTTCACCCTGGTTGATCATGTGGTCTGTAGCTGGGCTCTGATTGGTCCTCTGAGACCTTGTGGGTCCAAAACATGAAGTAAATACAGAGGATTGAATGAGGAACATGTAAAGTCCTGCTGCCGTGTTCAGAGGGAGAGAAGAGAGGCTTGTACCAACCTGCTGAGGCTTGAAGCTGCAAGAAAAAGGTTTCACAGTGTTAATTAATGAGTGTGTGTAATAATATGTGTGACTTTGACTTATTTCAGTGAAATCAGTATGATATCAGAAGGAAAAGATCTCACCTTTTGACTTTCTGTAGCGACGCAGAATCAGCAGCAGGAGAATAATCAGTAAAATTCCAGAAGCCAGACCAACCACCAACAGCAGGAGAAACACAGAGCTTGATGCTGCTTCTTCAGGATCTACACACAAGTACACACCAACCATGAAGAGATACACAAGTACTACAACACACACACTCAAATACACTCACATGAACCTTTGATCACACAACATTCACCTTTCACTGCTGCTCATGTTAGTTCCATTTGTGTCTTTAAACACTAAAATGTATAAAACTATATTGTCTCACACAAACAAATAGTTTAATTCAGTTACACCTTTTGTAACTCAGACTGTAACACATATTACAAAGAAAACATCTTCTACTCGTACTCACGTTCCACTGACAACCAGCTCTCTGCTGAGGTCAAATTCTCCAAACCTTGAGATGAATTCCTTCCTCTACATTTATAAAAGCCTTCATCTGACTTAGTAACTGCAGAGATAAACAGCTCCCCTCCGACACCATTTGGGAGGAGTTTGTCATTTTTATAGAAATCCACTTTATCAAGAAGTTCTTTTGTCCTCAACATGCAGCCAAGAGTGACCGAATGTCCCTCAGTCACAGGACGGACAGAACTCACCAGGATGACATCACCACCTGTAAAGAGACCAGAGGACAGGAAGTCAAACAAGCTGATGTACGATGAAGAAAAGAAAATGTAATTTAGCTGACGCTTTTCATCCAAAGTGACTTACAATAAGTGCATTCAACCACAGGGATACAAACTCAGAAGAGCAAGAAACGAGGAAGTGCAATTCCATCAAATAAGCTAATTTACAATTTGCTATAGATAAATTGTACTTATAATGCCACTTAAGTCTTAGTTGAGGTAGAGTCTGAAGAGGTGTGTCTTTAGTTTGCGGCGGAAGATGTGAAGACTCTCTGTGGTCCTGATGTAATCAGAGAGCTCGTTCCACCATTTCGGAGCAGGACAGCAAAGAGTCGTGATCTAGTCGAGTGATTTGCTCTCAGTGAGGGAGGGACCATTCACAGCATGGTACGTGAGCACCAATGTGCACCAACTGGATGCGGGCAGCCACCGGTACCAGTGAAGAGAGCGGAGGAGTGGAGTAGTGTGGGAGAATTCAGGAAGGTTAAAGACCAGTGGAGCTGCTGCATTCTGGATGAGCTGCAGAGGTGGAATGGCGGTAGCAGGGAGACCTGCCAGGAGAGAGTTGTAGTAGTCCAGGCGTGAGATGACAAGAGCCTGAATCAGTACCTGGGCAGCCTTCTGAGTGAGAAGAGGACGTACTCTCCTGATGTTGTAGAGGGTGCATCTACAGGATCGTGTTGTCACAGTGATGTTGGGAGTCAGGGAGAGTTGGCTGTCAGATGTCATGCCGAGGTTCCTACCAGTCAAAGTGGGCGTTAACACGGAGTTGCCAAAGTTAACCATTAAGTCCTGGGTAGGAGAATCTTTTCCCAGAAAGAGAAGTAGTTCAGTTTTATCCGGGTTGATTTTCAGAAGCTGAGCGGACATCCACTGAGAGATGTCAGTCAGACAGGCGTGCCGTCACCCAAGTGAGGGAAGGAGAGTATTAGTTGGGTGTCATCGGCATAGCTGTGGTAGGAGAAGCCATGCAAGCGAATGACAGCGCCAAGAGAGTTGGTGTAAAGAGAGAAGAGGACCGAGGACGGAACCCTGAGGAACTCCAGTAGTAAGGACAAGGTTCCGAAACAGATCCTCGCCCGGTTCCTCGGTATTGGCAGCCGGCGAGGTAGGACGAGAAAAGGGAGAGCAGAGACAAAGTTCCTGAAGGGAGGAAATAAGGATCTGGTGGTTTACTGTGTCAAATTGGTAGAAAGAGCTTTTGGCAGCAGAGATAGAAGCAGAAAAAGAGGAGAGAAGAGATTGAAAGACCAACAGGTCATAAGGCTGTTTATATTTACGCCATCTCCTTTCCGATGCTCGCATTGTGGCTCTCATGGCACGTACCGGTTGAGACAGCCACAGAGCCGGAGACGATTTGCCAGTCCGTCGTGTCGTAAGAGGGCAGAGAGAGTCTAGAGAGTCTCTGCGGCAGCGTTTGGATGAGAAGGAGTCAGTTGAAGTGAGAGCTGATAGAACAGAGAGAGGGAGCGAATATTGCGACGAACAGGTACAGAGTCAGTTAATGGGGCAGGGTTGTTAGTTATGGAGAGTGGAAGAGAGTAAGATGAAGTGTTTAGAAACATGAAGTGGAGTTACAGGGAGGTTAGTGGTGGAGAAGTTTCAAGTGAAGATTTAGTCAAGGTGATTGCCAGCTTTGTGAGTAGGAGGAGAGGGACTGAGTGACAGAGCGAAAAAAGAAAGTAGGAGTAAGAGGTCAATAACTGTCTGGATGTTGAAGTCACCAAGGATGATGAGCGGAGGGCCATTTTCAGGGAAATTGGACAGGAGAATGTCCAGTTCTTTTGAGAAATGACTCTAAGGAGCCTGGTGGACGGTAAAGGACAACGATATTTAATTGTACCGGGTGAGCAACTTACAGCATGGAATTCGAAAGACAGTGGACTGTGGAAGAGGGTAAAGAGAAAAGCTCCATTTGGGTGAAATGAGTAGATCTGTGCCACCACCCCTACCAGTGGGTCTGGGTGTGGGGCTGAAGGAGAAGGTGGAGGAGAGAGCGGCTGGGGTGGATGTGTTCTCAGGTGTGATCCAGGTCTCGGTGAGAGCGAGGCAGTCAAGCGACTGCTGGATGGCAAAGCCGGAGATGAAGTCTGCCTTGCGAGTAGGTGACTGGCAGTTCAAGAGGCCTCCTGTGACGAGGTGCTGGACGTGTGTGGAGCGGGTGGGATCAGTGAGAGAGGAGAGGTTACGATAGAGAGCAGATCTAGCCCGAGGCCTGTAGTATCTGCGGGAAGAGATTCAAACGGGTACGGGTAAAGGGGGCAAACACATTAAAAACAGCAGAAGAAGGCGCCGCATTCAGCCGCCACAAAGACTCCATGAAAGCCTTTGTCCTACTCGTCTTGACTCCCACGGAAGACTGTTTTGTCTTTGTCCTGCTCGTCTTGACTCCCACAAAAGAAAAAAATACTCCCTCGTTAGTGGAAATTGGCTACAGCTGCGGTGACCTCTCCCCCGTCGTTTAGGAGACAAAACTCAATTGGCCTCAGCAGAAACTCCTCAAAACACCAATCGCCTGACACTTCAATCAGTGAACAATCACCATGTGGTGTTTTGACAAACTGAGAGTTTAAGGATTCAAGTCTCTTCTGCTTCAGAAGAGAAGGCAAAAATAGAGTTAGATCGGGTTAAACCTAGCAAAATTAGGAGGGCACTCCGGCAGTTAACTTAATAGCAGAGTCTAGAACAACAACTGGCACTAAAAAACGCCAAGAGTTTGAGCAAACTAGCAATCAAATAACTGAATCAACAACAAAATTTAGCAGACTAGCTTGGTTTAAAGAAAAGATACTTAGTCCGATTTCAGGTCGCCTGGATGTCTGATGGCCTTGTAGTTGAGATACACGCAGTTTACATTTGTTGTCCACATTCACACAGTAGCTGAGCGAATAGCTGCATTTCATGGATGGAAGAGACGGCCCTTTGGTGACGTACATGCTCACAGTTACATCTTTAATTAATGCTCAATATGTCGGAGACAAATGTCCACTTAGTGGCAGTGAGCTACAGAATGGTCTAAAAGGTCCAAAGTGGAGGAGCGAGGATGGAGCCAGATAACTCTACAGCTCCTCCTGGTCTAAAGTCAATGGTGGATGTCTATGGTCATAAAGAGGAAAGTCAACCACAAAGACGTGTTGGACAATACAGAGAAATGATACTGGAACAAACTAAATATTGAGTTAAAGTCCTTATAAAGTCACCTTAAAATGTCAGCACTCTACAATAAGATGTGTAACTACTTTAGATGTCAAACCTTTAAATGAATATAAACTCACTGTGTGTAGTGATGTTGGCTGCATTGCTGGACTGTGTTGCAGACTCACACCAGTACACTCCACTACTCGCTCTAGTGGTGTTGCATGTGGATCCAGTCATTTGTCCCCAGTAAGAACAGGATGACATGAAGCCAGATTCATCAGCCTTCATCACTCTCCACTCAGTAGAGTTTCCCTCACAGCTCAGTGACAGTGACTCTGTGCTGAAGTGCTGCAGTCTGTGAGGACTCACTGTGAGAGACGCTGCTGGATTCACACCTGAAGACACGTCATTAGGAGACACACGGAGGACAAACTATGTCAACACAAACAGGACATTTATTCTCTTGTGCAAGAATATAAAAGTGTGAACAAACTCACCTCCAGACCAGACAAACTTCACATCACTGTACAGAGTGTAAAACACAGGATCTCCTCTTCCAGCTCTGCACACATATCCTGCTGTGTGTGTCTGTCCATGAAGAATGTAGGAAATGGTGCTACCAGCTAGAAGCTCATAGGTGTAGTTGAGTGACAGTTCTGGAACAGCCTGATACCATAAGAACCTCCATCCTGCAGACGGAGGTTCAACACTGCAGGTCAGAGTCACTGAGTCTTCAGGACTCGTCCATGATGGAGACACTGTGAGGACAGGCTGAGGAACATCTGTTGGAAAGAGATTTCACACAATAAAGACATGTTGTGATGAGTCATTGGTGGATTACTTTCACTGCTGATGTCCTCCATCTTTTACTTCAGCTGTGTAAACAGGTGTGATGGGACACTGTCTGTAAACATATTATCTAATTAAACAACTCAAATATTCTGTTTTGATTCAGGAAAATAAAAATGATGGCTGACTGGTTGTTGTGTGAGTCTTAATCCTTATTAAGAAATACATGTTCTACATGTTTAGTTTCATATGAACTATCAGTGTAGTTCTTTACAGCAGCAGCGTTCTCTACAGCTCCCAACAAAACCTTCAACAAACTCCAGTGTGTTCAGAACTCTTTTGCTCGACTGTTCACATCCACCGTCGCTATGAACACATCAGCTGGACCTTTGCAACCTCCACTGGCTAAAATACAGGATAGACTTCAACATATTACTCATCACCTACAAAGCCCTGAACCACGTGGCCCCTCCCTTCCTCTCAGACCTCCTCCCCTCCACGCCCGACCCGTCGCCTCAGGTCCGCCAATGCCAAAACCC